TCTAGGCTGTTAGTATGGTACGGTGCAACATCAATAAATACTACTAAAGCCTGTCCATTGGCAGTAAGTTCATATTGCGCAGTGGTTGACGGTTTTCAACCCAAATATACACTCAGGTTGTAGTTCATTCGTATAAATTAAAAAACACGCACATTGCCTGTTACTCCGAAGACGAGTTGGGGCACCAGGCTCGAAAATTTACTCATTAAAGTTACGTTTTATCCCAAAGAGCAACTTCTTCTTCAAAATACACTCAGAATTTCGGTATGTGCTTAAAGACCTTAAATATGCTGATGTATACCCCGAACAGAAATTAATTTCCAAGAAAAGTGAAAAAAAAACTGAAATTCGCTCTTAGTCAGTTTGTGTAACAAGGTGAACGAATTCCAGACGAAGAAAACCTACTCGAACGACTAGGCCAGCATATGAGGGGTCACGAGACCTCACAAAGACCAACCAGAGTTGGCACATAAACTCAAAACAACAAAGATGTGGGGCAAAGTAACTACACTTGAAAACGATGCCAAAAAGAGCATGATTAAGACGATAGCATTGTGGTCGGCGGCGGCGGCGGTTACCTGTGTGGGGTTCTCATAGGTGCGCTCGTCAGCTTCATCGGTGCCAGCCGGGGGGAACTTGGTGCGCGGGGTCTCTGTGTTAAGCCCATCAGCCAGACTGCTTTCACGTTCACACAGGTAGCGCAGTTGTGACTCCTGTTTGTTGATCTCCAGGTCGATGGTGGCTAGTTGGCGAGTCACTTCCTCGTGTTCGCGTTGCAGTTTGGCGTCCTGTGCGTCCATAATACGTGCCTCCTCCGGTGCCGGAGATATGGCCTCCACCTGCAGGGCAGAAAAAATTGGCACTCAGAGCCAAATGCCGTAAAAGCTTAAATTTCTCTTTTTTTGTCAATGTTGGGCTGCTGAATTAAAGGACTTGCGACAACCACCACCCAGCACCCATCAAACTCAATCGCCCTGACTCATTTTCTTTCACTCGGGGTCGTACTGAACACCACTACCTACGTCTTCTGGACGATTACTTGCATTTCCCACTTTCGGTTCCACTGGACCATCATTTCTGTAGCGTTCTGCACTCGCTGTATAGCCCTGTCGGGGATGGTATCTTAGCTCCATATCGCAGCATCGTCCGCGAAAAGGCTTAGCTCAACGTCCTCTCAGTCGGTATCCGATGGATTCCAAAAAAAAGCCATGCAGGACAGCTTTGACTCTCATCGATTTCGAAAAAGCCTACGACACGGTATGGAGGACCGGTCTAGCGCTGAAAATGGCTAAGATGAAGGTCCCCAATTGCCTACAGATTTGGATCGAGAGCTGACTGACCAACCGCCTAATGCATGTGCGATACAACGGACGCCTCAGTAGGGAGTTTAGACCTACAAGGGGCCTCGCACAAGGAGCAGTACTTTCCCCGCTCCTCTTCGACATCTTTATAAATGACCTTGGGGATGAAATCGGAGAGGACGTTGAGATAAGCCTTTTCGCGGACGATGCTGCGGTATGGA